CAGTTGCAATATTTGACTGAATGAAAAGCCACTTCCAAACACTATTCTTTTTATTGCGTTTTTTTTCTGTTTGCTTAAATGAATACAACGTGAATTGTCATTCTAATCTTGTTTATCACTTACTTCAATTTGTTGTCAAGAAACGAGGCGCATATTCCTAAATTATTGGACGCCATAGCGAAAGTAGGAATAGATGTTTAAACCTTGTCTAAATGCATCACCATATAACTACAGCGATATACTAAGCGTAGTTTATATGTGGCACAAGGCCGAAAATATAGAGCACCTAGTGAGGATCAAGCTCCCTAAATCGCAATTGATTGAGCAAGGTTCTTTGTTCAAGCCTAGCTTAGATTTAGCACAAAGTCAAAAGTGTGAGGCACGCAGTGAAGATCGAACTCAATACTCTGTGGTAATTGATCGAGTAAGATAACCATAACACCACGTCAAAGGTACCCTCACCAGACGCCTATAATAAGCTTGGGTGTGCAGGTGGTGTAATGGATAACGGCTCAGCATTGGAAATCGGAGAGTCAAGTTCCAATTCCAGTCGGGTTCATTTGAGTCACTTACGCGCAAATACTCTTCTACTTCCAGCTATGAGTTAATTAGCATGACTAGTGTCATTAAATACTCCAAAAAATTCTTGCAATCCAAAATAAAAAAACAATTCTGGCTTTAACCCCAACATCGTGTATATACGTTTTACCTTTTCAGACACGAACGGGTAAACACGTCCAAGCGTAACGTACAAAAAACCAGCTATAGACGTGTTTATACGTCGATCTTGATTTTCTTATGCAATTCTGGGCTTGAAACGAGACCAATTGTCAACTCATGTGTCTGGTAGAGATGTTAGCCACCACTGGGATACATCAAGGTACCTGTGATTTTTATGGTTAGGTCGCATTATGGTGGGAGGCATGTTTGAATGATGGATAGCGGTTCGGTTTGACGAACCGTAAAGACACGTTCAAATTCCACTAGGATGCATTACATTCACTTACGTGCTAATAACCTTAGGAAAGGTAGGAAGCCTCTTCTTCTCCCCCTCCCACCATCTATGGGTAAATAGCAAGACAGACTGGGTTCTGGCAACCGGTCTAGGAAAAGGAAAAACTCTGAATTTAAAACCGGCCTGAAGAGGGTTGGGTTCCGTCGTGCTATCTTGCCTAAGAAACACCACTTAGTTGCAGTACGCCTGGTGCTCCTACGGGTCACGGGATGAAAAAAAAGCATTATGGACTTTTCGTTTACACTAAATTCAAGCCTTTTTAAATGGTCAGAATTAGCGTATTAGCGATTTCATAAAAAGCGTTTAGCAATTTCATAAAAAAGAGAACAATTCAAGAAATTAATATAAAATGAATGCAAAAGATCATGTAGCAGCAAAATAAAACACCACTAAGTATGTCAGACATTTGATCGTCATTCAAAATATATGTTACAGGGAATATGGTAGAACTGGAAGGAAGTAATCTACGATGAACCTCTTCTGAGGAACCGAAGGATTGATTCAAATAAGTACTGTTTCAAGTTATACCAATATAAGGCAATCATTGAATGAAAACTTAGGAAATGGAAAGTAAGTATTTCCCATATTATCAGGTAAAATGTGCCAAAGTTCTCCATTCTCACTTAAGCTTTTTATAGAAGAAGAAAACTCAAATTTCGTGAAAGACTGAAAACGTTAGCTGTAAATTGTTAAGAAACATGTTCAGGGAAAATTAAATTATTAAATTTCCTGAAAGATAATAGTAGAAGAAAAGAGGCTTTCAGTATCTGTCAATATTGCTGAGATGAGGTATTATGTACACTATTTACATTATTCGGACTATTGGCCTCATCTATGTCGCCATATTTATTACAACGTTTCGGCCTTTCAGTATCTGTCTATATTTCTGAGATGAGGTATTATGTACACTATTTATATTATTCGGACTATTGGCCTCACCTTTGTCGCCATATTTATTACAACGTTTCGGCCTTTCAGTATCTGTCTATATTTCTGAGATGAGGTATTATGTACACTATTTATATTATTCGGACTATTGGCCTAATCTATGTCGCCATATTTATTACAACGTTTCGGCCTTTTAGTATCTGTCTATATTTCTGAGATGAGGTATTATGTACACTATTTATATTATTCGGACTATTGGCCTCATCTTTGTCGCCATATTTATTACAACGTGTCGGCCTTTCAGTATCTGTCTATATTGCTGAGATGAGGTATTATGTACACTATTTATATTATTCGGACTATTGTCCTCATCTTTGTCGCCATATTTATTACAAAGTTTCGGCCTTTCAGTATCTGTCTATATTGCTGAGATGAGGTATTATGTACATTATTTACATTATTCGGACTATTGGCCTCACCTTTGTCGCCATATTTATTACAACGTTTCGGCCTTTGAGTATCTGTCTATATTTCTGAGATGAGGTATTATGTACACTATTTATATTATTCGGACTATTGGCCTCACCTTTGTCGCCATCTTTATTACAACGTTTCGGCCTTTCAGTAACTGTCTATATTTCTGAGATGAGGCATTATGTACACTATTTATATTATTCGGACTATTGGCCTCACCTTTGTCGCCATATTTATTACAACGTTTCGGCCTTTCAGTAACTGTCTATATTTCTGAGATGAGGTATTATGTACACTATTTATATTATTCGGACTATTGGCCTCATCTTTGTCGCCATATTTATTACAACGTTTCGGCCTTCAGTATCTGTCTATATTGCTGAGATGAGGTATTATGTACATTATTTATATTATTCGGACTATTGGCCTCACCTTTGTCGCCATATTTATTACAACGTTTCGGCCTTTGAGTATCTGTCTATATTTCTGAGATGAGGTGTTATGTACACTATTTATAATATTCGGACTATTGGCCTCACCTTTGTCGCCATATTTATTACAACGTGTCGGCCTTTCAGTATCTGTCTATATTTCTGCGATGAGGTATTATGTACACTATTTATATTATTCGGACTATTGGCCTCATCTTTGTCGCCATATTTATTACAACGTTTCGGCCTTTCAGTATCTGTCTATATTTCTGAGATGAGGTGTTATGTACACTATTTATAATATTCGGACTATTGGCCTCACCTTTGTCGCCATATTTATTACAACGTGTCGGCCTTTCAGTATCTGTCTATATTTCTGCGATGAGGTATTATGTACACTATTTATATTATTCGGACTATTGGCCTCACCTTTGTCGCCATATTTATTACAACGTTTCGGCCTTTCAGTAACTGTCTATATTTCTGAGATGAGGTATTATGTACACTATTTATATTATTCGGACTATTGGCCTCACCTTTGTCGCCAAATTTATTACAACGTTTCGGCCTTTCAGTATCTGTCTATATTTCTGAGATGAGGTATTATGTACATTATTCGGACTATTGGCCTCATCTATGTCGCCATATTTATTACAACGTTTCGGCCTTTCAGTATCTGTCTATATTGCTGAGATGAGGTATTATGTACACTATTTATATTATTCGGACTATTGGCCTCATCTATGTCGCCATATTTATTACAACCTTTCGGCCTTTCAGTATCTGTCTATATTGCTGAGATGAGGTATTATGTACACTATTTATATTATTCGGACTATTGTCCTCATCTTTGTCGCCATATTTATTACAACGTTTCGGCCTTTCAGTATCTGTCTATATTGCTGAGATGAGGTATTATGTACATTATTTACATTATTCGGACTATTGTCCTCATCTTTGTCGACATATTTATTACATCGTTTCGGCCTTTCAGTATCTGTCCATATTTCTGAGATGAGGTATTATGTACACTATTTATATTATTCGGACTATTGGCCTCACCTTTGTCGCCATATTTATTACAACGTTTCGGCCTTTCAGTATCTGTCAATATTTCTGCGATGAGGTATTATGTACACTATTTATATTATTCGGACTATTGGCCTCACCTTTGTCGCCATATTTATTACAACGTTTCGGCCTTTCAGTAACTGTCTATATTTCTGAGTTATTATGTACACTATTTACATTATTCGGACTATTGGCCTCATCTTTGTCGCCATATTTATTACAACCATTCGGACGTTGTACGCTTCGGCCTTCTTCAGTATCATCTGAGATGAGGTATTATGTACACTATTCGGACTATTGTCGTCATCATTGTCGTCATATTTATTAGAACCTTTCGGGCTTCTTCAGGAGCTTGGAATGTCGAACTGAACCTTTTATTTCGCTCAATGGGGTGGACTGTTCTAGTTCCACGTGCCTTGTTTTAATGGATGTCAGTTATCAGTTATCTCCGGTTAATTCCTGTCTCCAAGTTCTCCACTGACTTAACTGGGTATTGAACTCAAACTCTTTGGCTCCTGTCACTGAATCTAACCAATGCCTTTATCCACCGTGCCATGTGCCGTGCCTTGAGAAGATCTGTGTATGAATTTCTGAGTATTATAAACCGTTATTGACCAGTGTTCATATTGCAATTTTTGCTGTTATCATTCCATGTTTTTACCAGAGCTCATATTGCATAATGTAAATAGTGGACAAAAGAGTTTCATGCGTTTTTCAATGTAACATCGAAAAGTAATATATTTTAATTTTACATATTAAACCAAGTGAAAGTATTAGCCAACTGTATCGATCACATATTTGTTTGAAAATTTTTTCAAATCTTATGAACAGATATGCACCAATAATAAAAAATATTATTAAGTTTTATGTCACAATGTGATGCACTATCGGAATTAACCCTTTCAGCCTTGCGCTCCTGAATAATTTTAATCTTTCTGCCTCCTGAGCTCATGAGTCAAAATTCGTAAATAATTGGTATGTAATGTTTCACGGGAGATATAAAAATAGTTATTTTTCTCTACCACCGGTAATGCGGTGATCAGGGCTCAAAGGTTTAAAATGAATGGGACTGTTGCCACTGTCTTAAACAGACATCAAATAACTACAGTTTCTGGATAGACCTTTAATAGATAGATAGATAGATAGATAGATAGGCAGGAACGTGAACAGATGTAAGTATGCATACAAAGATATATACTCTCATAACAGAGAAACTTAAATAAGTGGAAGTAAACTTGTATGCATTGGACAGATGCCAATTTTCCAACGCTTATCTTTTGTACACTATTAATGGGATTACTGGAGTGTCTTTAAAGTTTACATAAACCTTTACTGCTTGTGTGGCCATAATCCCAAACCATTGCTTGATTTTTCTTGATTTTGGTGAAAATCATGTTTGAATATAAATTATACATTCAACTTTGATACGCAATGCCACCCCCCCCATTGACGCTTATGAAAAAAGTTGAAAGGAGAAATTGGGAAGGATGTGCAAAATTTAAAAAAAGAGATTCTTTCCAAGAAAAAGGTTCGCTCTGCAGGTTTGGTTTAGTTTTGTTTGGTTTGGTTTGGATTGGTTTGTTTTTCGGCCTATCAACATCAATAGGTTATTTTATTGCTGCTAATATCTTTTCTTCAAATATGTATTGTTGGTATTAAAACATATTTTTACACTTTCCTAGTGTTTTGACACCGGCTTGGTGAGGGTTAACTATTTGCCCATAGTTGCGACCCTAACAGGTGCTACCATCCCGGGTCAGGGTGCACCTGGGAATACCAGCAATTAAGAGGTGGTTCCACGCTCATCCTGATCAGGGGCCTTGCTGTTTATCGTCTTACCCACAACGCCGTCGTAACGTGAAAACTAATTAATTAGGGAATATTTGAAGGAGAGAAACGATACAACCAACATGTGAAAACCTAAGTCACTAACGCATGTATGATGTCAGGAAAAAGTAAGATCGTTCTTCAAATTGTAAATCTTTTGCAGCAAATGATCATGAACTACTTCGTGGCCCGAAGGACTTGACACGCCTACATAAGATAACTTTCTATTTCAACTCTCTGTGGGATATTATCAAGGAGAGAGTTTCACATGAACGATACCAGAATACCCATCAGTTGAAGGACGCCGTTCGGAGAACCTTTGCAACAATCAACAAAGTACAACTTCGCAAAATATCACACAGGACATGTTGCCGTTTCATTTTGTGCCACGAAAATGATGGCGTTCATGCTTTGTATTACTGTATTACTTGTCCTATTGTTCTCATTACTTTTTGGTAGGAGTGACTTTCGGGCCACCCTGTAGAATAAAAAAAAAAAAATTTAACTTGCATATACGGTGTATTATGAAAGCCTGTCTTTCTTTTCTTTTCCTCCATGCAACCCCCTTTTCTCTGGTCTGCAATTCTTATGTATCATGTCCCTTCATTGGCGACCATGGCTCTTCACAATTTCCTCTCTTTTGTAGCTCTTAATAATTTTTGTCTTTTACTTATCTCTCCTAAGCCCTGTTCTGCCATCCATTTGCTTAACCTCGTACTTCTTCCATGTGCCGTATTCCTTCAAGGCATTGATGATCATGGCTCTCCACAGTTTCCTGTTCCGTGTAGCTTTTAATAAATGTTGTCTTTTTGTTGTCGCTCCTAAGCCCTGTTCTGGCATCCATTTGCTTAACCTCGTACTTCTTCCATGTGCCGTATTCCTTCAAGGCATTGATGATCATGGCTCTCCACAGTTTCCTGTTCCTTGTAGCTTTTAATAAATGTTGTCTTTTTGTTGTCGCTCCTAAGCCCTGTTCTGGCATCCATTTACATAAGCTCTAAGTTATACATTGTTTTTCTTCTATCCCTTTTGTCTTCAGTCTGTTCTGTGAGTATCAAATTTTCCAACTTATCTGTTCTCCTTATGTGCATTTAAAATTTCCCTTGTTTCTTTCAGATGTTGAGTATAACTGTAGTTTTTGTTTCCATTTTCTCTAAATTTTCGTCGTTGCTCAAATGTTCAGTCCATGGTATTCTCAGTATCCTTCAGTAGAACCACATTTCTGTTGCTTCAAGTCTCTTCTTCATCTGCAAGGAGACTGTCTTAAATTCACTGTCATATAGGAGGACTGATATTACGTAAAAGCTAAAAATATTCTTTGTTTCTATTGAAATTTTCCTGATTCGTAATACTTAGCTTAGCTTTTGGAAGGCAACTTTTGGTACCCGTCGCACATTCCGTCTTCTGTTAAAACACTTCTAAAATATTTAAATTTTTGTACTTGATTGATTTTGTATCTCCAATTTTTAATCTGTATGTTGGGCTGTTCCTTTTTACTAACAGATCAATGATGACAAATTTAGAATATCGATGGATTTCTCAAAGAATTCATTGAATCAAAATAGTAATCCTTCTTTTAGGATAGAATACTCAAGACCAGAAAAAAAATTATTTTAATGTCAGTATAAGCATGATCTAAAGTGACATAAATACAAAAACATCAGTAAAAACAATTTGGACTGTTCATCTATATAGATAAACGCGAATGTCAATGTGTCAGTGTTTCACTGTGTCACACTTTTCCAGCTTTACTGCTAGAGGCTGTAGTCCGACATATCATATAATTTTGGAGTCAGACCGACTTCGTGAGCAATTTAAAAACATTCCCAGACAGAGATTTTGGATTCCCAAGTTTTCATTACTACGATTGTTTTTGGTGACTTTTTTGTTTTTTACGTGATTTTTTTTTTTTGCGACGAATTTTTTGTACAATAATATTTTTTATAACTTCGAAATAAATTTGGGAACAATTGAAATTAATTGCGAAATCCAGCGAAAGTCACCCATGAAATAAAAATAATTTTTTGTACGGAAAGTAAGGACCTACGTACATCAAATTGACTATAAATTAAATGGCGAGAGAAGAATTATCGTTGAACTTTTAAAAGGTATGCTCAAATATTAATGCAATACTTAAATGGAGCGATCAACTTTGAGTTCTCCTGTAGGTTAATGTTGCCTATCGCATACGGCAGCAGTATGCCTCGCAAAAAGAAATCTCCGTCAACAGAGGACCAGATTGCAATCAAATGATCCAAGGCTGCAGCGAGGAAAAGAAAGTTTTATACAAATGAAAAGCCAGATAAAACGGCATCCGGGAGAGCTTCTAATGCTGAGAATATGCAAAGCCATAGGGACTATGATAGCTCCTGAACAAGCCGAACGCCCAGTTAAGAGCCCCCTCTGCAGGAGCTAGTTTAAATGCCGACCGATAGGGCGGCTTTTAAGCTAGTCAACTATAAATGTGAAAGCACCCTTTACTTCGCCTTTCACAAGTCTAAAAACGGATAAAATCATTTTGTCGGGTGAACTGCTTGAATTGAAATTAACAGTTCTAAATGATAGCTCCTATCAGGGTTCGAACACCAGCCATTGGGTAAATGAACGTTCATATAAACTAGAGAATAGACAGATTCGTAAGAATCAAATTATTTCATAGTCATTTCGAGAGATATTCGAATCCTTTCACTCCTCAGCACAGTTCTTTGCCATTGGATAAGAAGAGTTGTATTTAAACGTCATTTACATGATAATAATAGCAGCGATATTTCACCGGCTCCAGACCCTCTCACAAGGCCAATACCTGTTATAGAATGACATGGCCCGTAGACATACAGCTTGCTCTTCAGAAACGGCGTACACGACAAAAGTCGGGAATTGCAGAATTTAATTTACCGCCAAAAGGATATTGTATCGGATTATGCAGTATTCAGGGCAGGCACTTATTGATCAGGAAATCGATAATAAGCAAATTTGGAGCCGATCAGTTTGATACTAAAGGACTTCATCATTGGTAACACATCTTTATTCGATGTCGGTAATCCGAGTTAAAGAAAAAAAACGAAGAAAATCAATTCATTTCTTAATCTTAACCCATGAAAGCCAACCATCCCAATTTTGAACGCTCAGCATTAACAATTTTAATTAAAAAACTATAATTAATTACAGAGTTTTATAAAACTATTAATACCGGACTCTGATAGATATCTGTAATTCAAACTGTTTTTAGAAACTTATAATTAATACCATATTTTTATTTTTTACAATAGACACTACTGAGGTAATATTTTTTTATAAAAAACATATACTCTTTTTTTTTTTTTTGGCTTTTAATGAGAAAACAAATGAAATAAAATGACTGAAAATAATACTATATTCAGATTTGTGAGGTATATGGCGTAGGGTTTTATCTTTATATAGTGTCTCTCTCTTCAGAACCTGTTATAGTCTGAATTGAATATGGAAATATTTAGTAAATATTTGTCTGATTTTTGGTTAAATAATTTATCGTATAAACAAACTGCTTCCAACCCAAATAAAAAGGAAGGCATTCGAATAAGGTAGTCAAGACCTATTCATGTTTAGATTATCACAAATTCAAATTTCCCATTTCAACTTATATTGTGACATTAAGAAAGTTTTTATGTCTACTTAAAAGAAAATTGTAATATCCGAAGTTATAAGAAGCAAATTGATTTTAAATATGAATCCTATGGCAGGAAAGAAGGTATTTATTACTCGTAGAAATAACTGATACCTAAAATGAATGGCAATCCCATGAGTTCCTTATATTTAGTATAAACTGCCTTAAACTGATGCTGACAATCTTCAGGTATAGAAATATGGATTCGCTTAGAATTGATGCTTCCAAGAATTTACGAAAAAATATCTCTATTTTACTGTTATAAAAATTTGAAAAGTCTCCAACAAAGATAGGACATAAAATTCTATTCCTAGATAATTTTTAATTTTCTGAAAGAAAAAATTTTATTGGAAAAATACTGTAATAATTTACTTAATGGCATTAGATCAATTCTTTGTAATTAATTTTTATAATTAATTTTCAATGATAATTGCAGCAAGACGCATTTATATCAATAATAAATTTTATTCAAGAAATTATGGATTAAGAATTTGCCAAAAAATATATATTAAAAGTCTAAATAGAAAGAATATCTAAAAAGTATTATATATGTATTCATTTCTTTGGATAGACACTAGTTTTAATGGGTTCCCGTGTTTGAGTTGCTATCCTTTTTCTTTCTTAAACGGTGAGATTAACACGTATAGCAACTAAAAAATCTCGTTCATTTTAGCAAGAAATTAAGGATAAAAATTATATTTAAAATTACTATTG